GGAAAAAATGATTATATTTTTTTTTTTGATTTTTTTTTTTTACTTACAAAGTTGATGATAACAGGTAAAAAAAAAACTTAGTCTCCAGATAAATAAAAAACAAACACTAATATTAACTAATAATCAATCATTAACACTATGTCATTCCCCGGCAACGGCGCCAAAATCGTGACATGCCAAAATGTGTAGTGTGAAATGGTGTAAAAATGTGAATGGAAATGATGTTTTAATTGGCTTGTAACGATATAGTATAGAGTAAGTGAGTATCGTTCCGCTAGAGAATGGCTAAAAAAGAGAACTAGAATTAATGATTGATTTTTAGCTAATCACAAATTGATAACATTTTGCAATGGAGCTAAGTGAACAGATTTTTTTATCTTGTTTTTATAAATGTGAAATTGCTAGGAAATAAAATAAATCACAATACTTGATAATTTAACAATTAATGATATAGAGAAAATTAGGCTTGGGCTAAGAGTAAATTTATTATGATGTTCATAAATAATAAAGATTTAACTAATTAACTTAATTACTTTTAGGTGTGTGAAAGATTTACAAATGGTAATCTTCTAATCGTTCCCACGACTTAGTTGATTACACTATCTTAATTTAATTCCGCTCCCGCGGTAATTTTATTAAGACAGTAAAAAGTACGAAATCAATTTATCCTAAATTCCTTAACACTTCCATGTAGTAATTTAGTGGGTGAATTAAATAAATGGATTTTAATGAAATTTCACTCCCGTGATAATATTCATTTCCAATATTAATTTATTTAGCAGATTATAGTATTCAACCCAACACTCCTAAAATTAACCAGTTAATAGTTTTAACCAATTATTATCTTATGAACATTAATAGTAAAAATAACATCTTTCCCAAACCTAAACTAATTTAGTTACACATAATTATAGTGAACAATATAAAAGTAAAAATTCATGCTAGACATATTTAACTTAACAGATTAAAGAAATTAAAGTGAGTGTTTAAATAAGAACCTGAAGGCATAAATAATGAAGAACATAGATGAACTGGAACAGAAAAGCTGAAGTCCTTGTATTAATCTGGAACTGATCGAACGAACTGATAATTGCAAATGAACTTTAATACCAAATATCACAAGCTAATATTTTGGAACTGAGAATTACAAACTGAAATCTATACAGAAAGTGTTCTTGGCAGAATCACTTTTATTTTATTGCTACTACTATGAACAAAGCTAAAGAAAGAAGAGGATGATTCCTCTCTGAATTGGTGTCCTGCCGGAGCTCTCAAATGGTCCTTTATATAGGAGTAGAAGAAGGGGCTAGAGCAGCAAAAATCCTGAAATGAAGATGCTGAAAATAATTTTTGGTTGGCTATTTCCTCGGCCTTCATCAGGTGTGATCGTCACTGTTGCTTAATTTCTTTCTGCAAATAGTACCAGCTGCGGTTGAATTGGCATTTTTTCTTCATCGGCTACTGTTCTCTTCTGTTTGCCGACTGCTGAGTGAAGATGATGCGGACGATTTTTCATTTCAAATGGATGCAATTCGTAGATGTCCCTTCATGGCATGGCTTCATCAATAATGCAATCCAATTTCTTTGTGGGGACTCTTTCTATGGTGGAGGCTTGATTTATTCACAATGAGTGAATTATGGGGGTGTTGTCAGCCAAAAGTTTGGCTCTTATCCGCCTCTTGATTACTTTGGCCGGTTAACTGTTTGATCAGTTAACTGGTCAGCGGTTAACCGGTACATTTTATTGCGGATAGTCTGGCTTATTCTGAAGTGTATTCCAGGGCTCTTGCCAATATTTCGGGGTTAAAGTAATGACTCGCTTCACTTTGATGATTTTTCCGTCTTCACTCGGGAGTAATATTTATTTCTTTTCAGAAATTAATATACGTCCCGAATTATCCTGAAATTGACAAAATATACCAAAACAAGTGCAATACCTTAAAATGTCCAGGATGATAAAAATCAATCCTTTTTATTTAAAAATGAAAAATAAAATATTAAAAGTGTGACAAAACAAGATCGAAAATATGGTAAATTAGGAGTACATCAACTCCCCCATACTTAAGATTTTGCTTGTCCTCAAGCAAAAATATTTACATTCACACAAACAAGCAAGCAAGCAAGCAAAAATGATTTGCCAAATCATATGTGTAATCCTCAACTCATGCACACTTTCTTTTCACTCCACCTGATCAATCAAAATTCCCTTGACTTGTCACAAAATAAGAGTAGTGAGAATCATAAAAATATTTTGCATATCATTTGAAACGTTTTGGTCAAATCTCAACTCTAACAAACACAAAGTGTGTGGTGTGAAAATGGAATCTAGCTTCATTTGTTCAACAATGCAAAATTATGGAAAATAAGATTTTCCTATCAACTTATTTCAGACAAAACACAATTAGGATCAATTAGGACTTTTAACATTGGGTTATAAAGAGGTCTGTGGGATAGGCTTATGAACAAAGGGAATTAATGAGGAAACAAAAGAAATGAACTTGACATAAATTTAACAATATTAGAGAGGTACTAAGTAGTGAGTGGGAGCTTTTGACAATAATCTATACAACACTTGTTATTTTTACAATTAGGTATAGTAACTAGTAAAAAGAGTAAATTAATGTACAAGAAAAATATACAAAAGAGAGAAGCATATACATGGATATTCAGCCTTGTTAAGTTTTTTTTTTCATTTTCTTTTTTTTTTCTAGTTTTTTTTTTTTGTTTTTGATTTTTTTTTGTTTTTTTTTCAAGGCTTGTTAATGCTTCTAACACTAAGAATTTACAAGAATAGTATGTACAATGATAATACAACAAGAACAACTACCCTCCATAAATGAATATATATTAACAACTAAGTAATCACAAAAGTGAAATTGAAGCTCCCTAAATGTGAATGACACTCTCTAAACTCATTGAAATTTATGCAAGTTCATTCCAGGGTGTTTGGAAAGTGTTTGGTTTTTAGGCTAAGGGTCACATATAACAGGTTTCATGGAAAAAAAATAACAAAAATAGGGTTAAGCGTATAACGCTTATTCAAAAAAAAAAGGCTCAAAGGGGGTGAACAAGGGATATTTGTCACATGGGTAAGGCTAGATATATGGGTTTATGAAAAATGGCCTATATCATTTCCTAATGTGCTAAGTCAGAAAATCATATCAAGGAAAATAAAAGCACATAGTACTCTTGTTTTACACAATCTTAAACATGTTGAACAACAATTTCACTAGATAACCATTTACGTGCATGAGATGTTTTGTGTTTGTACAAAGTTCAAAACTTGACCAAAATTTTACTCAACGCTCATCAATTATGATTCTCAATCCAATTATTAAGAGACAAGTCCCGCCAACAATCCATGTACCATGTGAAAGAATAGAATGCATGATTTGAAAGTTAAACAGATGATAAGGCAATTCACAAACAAACAAACATGCATATTCTCCCCCCACACTTAGGATGAAACATCGTCCTCGATGTAACAAATATATACAGGGCGGGTGAGTAAATGGGTGGGAAAATAAAATTATTCAATGCAATCACACAAGCAAAACACACATTCAAATGCAAGTAAATAAACTTGGGTTGCCTCCCAAGAAGCGCTATTTTTAACGTCGTGTGCCCGACATTACCTGATTGGTTTACTCATACGGAGGATGATCCAGTTGAACAATGAGTTTCTTTTTTGCGTCCTCTCCTTGAGGATATCTGTTAACTCTTTGGCCACTGACAACAAATTTCCTCCCATCACTTCTGCTCTCTTCAATTTCTCCATTTCTCCCCCCTCACTTAAGTGTTTACAACACCCTTTCTTTTTCACACGCTCCACTAACTCTTCATCCTCATGATTTTTTTCGACTTCCACTACATCACAAACCTCCATAGGATCCTTGTGAAAGAATCCCATGAAGTCTATCACGGATTCATCAGCTATATCAACCTTCCAACAACTTTCTACACATGCAGGATTTGTCGTCGTTTGGAAAATATTAAACTCAACCCTTTCATCCCCGACTTCAATTTTTAATGTACCCTTTTTAACATCAATGATGGCACCAGCAGTGGCCAAGAAAGGCCTTCCCAATATGACGGGTACTCGCTCATCTTCATCCATGTCTAGGATGACAAAGTCACAAGGGATGAAATATTTTCCAACCTGTACAGGAATGTCTTCAAGAATGCCAATAGGGTGCCTAACAGATCGGTCAGCAAGCTGAATGGTCATTGAAGTAGCTTTGGGAATACCAAGACTAAGACGCTTGCTCATAGAATAAGGGATAAGGCTAACACTAGCCCCAAGGTCACATAAAGCTTTGTTAACCATGAACCCTCCAATTATGCATGGAATAGTAAAGCTACCTGGATCCTTCAATTTTTTTGGAAGTTTCCTTTGAATGATAGCACTGGATCCCTCGCTCATTGCTACGGTAGCTTTCTCCTCAAACTTCTTCTTGTTTGAAAGAATTTCCTTCAGAAATTTGGAATATGAAGGCATATGTTTTAGAGCATCAAGAAGTGGGATTGTTATGTTGAGTTGACCGATCCATTTAAGGAATTTATCCCTCCTCTCATCAATTGTGTTCTTCTTTGCTCTGTGAGGAAATGGTAAAGGTGGAACATATGGTTGTACTACCTTTTTCTTGCCTTCATGTGAGTGAGAATTCAGATCTTCTTCATTATTCTCCTTTAGTGGTGAAGTCTCTTTTTCAGATATCTTCTCTTTCTGAACTACAAGTGGTGGATCAGAAAGTTGTTTTCCACTCCTTGTAGTGATTGCACTGACATTCTCCCTGGAATGTTCAGAGTAGGCAGACAACTTTCCTTGAGCTTTGCTAGTTGATGGTGAAGCAAAACTAGCAATCTGGCTCTCAAGCATTTTGTTGTGAGCTTGAATTTGATTGAGTTGAGTGGTGAGTTGAGAGAATTGATTAGTGATACCTTGCATCATTCTCTGGAAGTCATTAACTCCAACAAATTGTTGTTGTTGCTGAGGTGGTGGTAATTGTTGTTGCGGTGGATAACCTTGAGGATTTTGGTACCCTTGATTTCCCCTCAATTGTTGGTTGTTTTGGTTTCCTCTGAATCCTTGCTGATTTTGAAATCCAGGAGGTGTTGGTTTGGATGGAAAAGATGGATTTGCTGCACCTGATGAATTACTCCATGAAAATCCTGGATGTGTCTTCCCTTGAGGATTATAGTTTCCTTGATATGGTACTTGAGGTCTACCATATATAGCATCAGCTTGTTCTACTGTGGGGATAAAAGGAACATTTTGTGTAAGTTCAAGAAAATTACATTCTTTAAAAGAATGCCCTCCCCCACAGAGTTCACAGAACAAAGCTTGAGCTACAGATGATGATGGATTTGTTGCTGCGCTAGAAGTTGATGATGATTGCTTCTCAGTGAGCTTTTGAACCATGGTTGTGAGAGAATCAACCTTTGCTGTTAAAGATGTTGTTTGGTCAACCTCATAAATTCCTGCTCCTAGCTTTTGAGTGGATCTTTCAGAATACCATGATGCACTATTGTTGCAAATTTTCTCAAGCATCTCTTTGCCTGTTTCGGGATCAAGCTCCATGAAAGCTCCATTAGCAGAGGCATCAACAACAATTTTGGAGTTATCTTGTAATCCCTCATAAAATGAGACAATGAGATCACCCATGCTCATATTATGATGTGGATATTGAACTTGAAGATCTTTAAATCTCTTCCATGATTCATAAAGAGATTCTGATAGTTGTTGTCTGAATTGTTGGATCAGTTTCTTCATTTTTGATGCCTTAGAAGGAGGATAGAACTCCTTCATGAAATCTCTATGCAACTTCTCCCATGTGTTGAAATAACCGGATGGTTTAGAGTTCAACCAACTCAATGCTTCATCCCTCAGTGAGAATGGGAACAATCTGAGTCTGATGGCATCAACAGAGGCTCCATTTAGTTTAAGAGTTTGGAGAACTCTCAAAAACTGTTTCACATGGCTCGTTGGATCTTCATTCTTAGATCCGCCAAATTTGTTGGCCGATACCAATGAGATAAGTGCTGGTTTGATCTCAAAATTTGCTGCATCCACACCTGGATAGAGAATGCTATCTTGTTCCTCAATTTCACCTGCAGCATAATCAAGAAGTCTTCTTCCTTGTTGTTGTTGTTGTCTCATGAATTGCCCTTGACCTTGTTGATTATGTGGGTGTTGGTAGTATTGGCCATATGGGTGAGGTTGATATGGGTGTATAAATGGAGGAGGTGGGTAAGGATAAGGATATGTATATGGATATGGTGGAGGTTGGTTTTGGTGATTTTGGTAGGGATGCGGTGGATAAAATTGGGGTTGTGTTTGGGGAGGAATTTGTTGGAAATTTTCAAATCCAGGGGGTCTTTGATCTCCAAAGAAAGGATTGTGTTCATCTCTAGGAGTATCAATGGGTGTATTTTGTGGTGGCGTTGGATTTGGAATTAGGTTTTGGCCATTTGGATTATTGGGATTGTTTTGAAGATCCTCCATGATCTGATCTTGAATTTTAAGTTCAAGGGTTTGTGCCTTTCTTCTTTTCCTTAATTCTTTTTCAAAATCAAGGTTAAGTGGTTGCAATCCTTCACTCCCTTGAGAGCGAGTATGCATACACGTTTCTTTTTTTTTTTTGATTTTTTTAAAAAAATGCAGGAAAAAATGATTATATTTTTTTTTTTGATTTTTTTTTTACTTACAAAGTTGATGATAACAGGTAAAAAAAAAACTTAGTCTCCAGATAAATAAAAAACAAACACTAATATTAACTAATAATCAATCATTAACACTATGTCATTCCCCGGCAACGGCGCCAAAATCGTGACATGCCAAAATGTGTAGTGTGAAATGGTGTAAAAATGTGAATGGAAATGATGTTTTAATTGGCTTGTAACGATATAGTATAGAGTAAGTGAGTATCGTTCCGCTAGAGAATGGCTAAAAAAGAGAACTAGAATTAATGATTGATTTTTAGCTAATCACAAATTGATAACATTTTGCAATGGAGCTAAGTGAACAGATTTTTTTATCTTGTTTTTATAAATGTGAAATTGCTAGGAAATAAAATAAATCACAATACTTGATAATTTAACAATTAATGATATAGAGAAAATTAGGCTTGGGCTAAGAGTAAATTTATTATGATGTTCATAAATAATAAAGATTTAACTAATTAACTTAATTACTTTTAGGTGTGTGAAAGATTTACAAATGGTAATCTTCTAATCGTTCCCACGACTTAGTTGATTACACTATCTTAATTTAATTCCGCTCCCGCGGTAATTTTATTAAGACAGTAAAAAGTACGAAATCAATTTATCCTAAATTCCTTAACACTTCCATGTAGTAATTTAGTGGGTGAATTAAATAAATGGATTTTAATGAAATTTCACTCCCGTGATAATATTCATTTCCAATATTAATTTATTTAGCAGATTATAGTATTCAACCCAACACTCCTAAAATTAACCAGTTAATAGTTTTAACCAATTATTATCTTATGAACATTAATAGTAAAAATAACATCTTTCCCAAACCTAAACTAATTTAGTTACACATAATTATAGTGAACAATATAAAAGTAAAAATTCATGCTAGACATATTTAACTTAACAGATTAAAGAAATTAAAGTGAGTGTTTAAATAAGAACCTGAAGGCATAAATAATGAAGAACATAGATGAACTGGAACAGAAAAGCTGAAGTCCTTGTATTAATCTGGAACTGATCGAACGAACTGATAATTGCAAATGAACTTTAATACCAAATATCACAAGCTAATATTTTGGAACTGAGAATTACAAACTGAAATCTATACAGAAAGTGTTCTTGGCAGAATCACTTTTATTTTATTGCTACTACTATGAACAAAGCTAAAGAAAGAAGAGGATGATTCCTCTCTGAATTGGTGTCCTGCCGGAGCTCTCAAATGGTCCTTTATATAGGAGTAGAAGAAGGGGCTAGAGCAGCAAAAATCCTGAAATGAAGATGCTGAAAATAATTTTTGGTTGGCTATTTCCTCGGCCTTCATCAGGTGTGATCGTCACTGTTGCTTAATTTCTTTCTGCAAATAGTACCAGCTGCGGTTGAATTGGCATTTTTTCTTCATCGGCTACTGTTCTCTTCTGTTTGCCGACTGCTGAGTGAAGATGATGCGGACGATTTTTCATTTCAAATGGATGCAATTCGTAGATGTCCCTTCATGGCATGGCTTCATCAATAATGCAATCCAATTTCTTTGTGGGGACTCTTTCTATGGTGGAGGCTTGATTTATTCACAATGAGTGAATTATGGGGGTGTTGTCAGCCAAAAGTTTGGCTCTTATCCGCCTCTTGATTACTTTGGCCGGTTAACTGTTTGATCAGTTAACTGGTCAGCGGTTAACCGGTACATTTTATTGCGGATAGTCTGGCTTATTCTGAAGTGTATTCCAGGGCTCTTGCCAATATTTCGGGGTTAAAGTAATGACTCGCTTCACTTTGATGATTTTTCCGTCTTCACTCGGGAGTAATATTTATTTCTTTTCAGAAATTAATATACGTCCCGAATTATCCTGAAATTGACAAAATATACCAAAACAAGTGCAATACCTTAAAATGTCCAGGATGATAAAAATCAATCCTTTTTATTTAAAAATGAAAAATAAAATATTAAAAGTGTGACAAAACAAGATCGAAAATATGGTAAATTAGGAGTACATCATAGGTGTGCGAGGATCCTCATCGATACCGGAGCACAACGCTCATTTGTGAGTGAGGCGTTCGCCGAGGGCCTTGACGTGCCATTGACACCTATGACGCAAACGTTGCTAGTCTCCACACCGTTAGGAGACGACGTGGAGAGAAATCATTACTATCCCTCGTGTGAGGTAGAAGTGACGGGTCAACCTCTGACTTGTGATTTCGTACCTCTAAGCATGTTGGAGTTCGATGCAATCATAGGGATGTATTGGCTCGAGAAACACCATGCTCGAGTGGATTGCTACACAAAGGTGTTGGAGCTCGAGGATGATCAAGGGAATACGCTATGTTTTGAAGGAGATCGGGGGAAATCTGATGCTTGTATCATATCCGTGATGAGAGCACGAAAGATGATGAGGAAGGGATGTCACGCATACCTTGCTTACGTGGTAGACGATACAAAGAAAGAAGTCGACATCAAGGATGTTCGAGTCGTATGCAAATACCCGGATGTCTTTCCCAAAGACCTACCGGGGCTCCCACCTGATAGAGAGATCGAATTCGTGATTGAAGTGGAGCCGGGAACCAAACCCATTTCGATTCCTCCTTATCGAATGGCACCGGCCGAGCTTCAAGAGTTGAAGGTCCAACTACAAGAACTATTGGACAACGGGTTCATCAGACCCAGTCATTCACCATGGGGAGCACCCGTACTCTTCGTAAAGAAGAAAGATGGTACACTAAGAATGTGTATCGACTACCGACAGTTGAACAAGGTCACCATCAAGAACAAGTATCCCTTACCGAGGATTGATGACTTGTTCGATCAACTTCGAGGGGCAATAGTATTCTCGAAGATTGATTTGAGGTCGGGGTATCATCAGTTGAAGATCAAGGAAAGTGACATACCTAAAAGTGCGTTCCGCACTAGGTACGGTCACTACGAGTTTCTTGTGATGTCATTTGGTTTAACCAACGCACCGGCGGCATTCATGGACTTGATGAACCGTGTGTTTAGTGAATACTTAGATCAATTTGTGATAGTATTCATTGACGACATCTTGATATACTCCAAGAGCGAGGAAGAGCACGAACACCATTTGAGGCTTGTACTTGATCGGCTAAGGGAAAAGCAACTCTTCGCCAAGTTCTCCAAATGCGAATTTTGGCTCAAAGAGATTGGTTTCCTCGGTCATGTCATATCCGGTTCGGGTGTTGCTGTGGATAACGCCAAGATAAAAGCGATCATGGATTGGGAGAGACCCAGGAATGCGAAGGAGATACGTAGTTTCCTTGGCTTAGCGGGATACTATCGTAAATTTGTTGAAAAATTCTCCGTATTGGCGTCTCCATTAACGAAGCTCACAAAGAAGGGGGACAAGTTCATATGGGACGACAAGTGTGAGAAGGGGTTCCTTGAATTGAAGAAACGACTTACCGAAGCACCAGTCCTTGCCCTACCCAGGCCATACAGGGGATAGGGTATGACATCTACAGCGATGCTAGCATCCAAGGGCTTGGATGTGTACTAATGCAAAACGGTAAGGTGATTGCCTATGCTTCTAGGCAATTGAGGAAACACGAAGTGAACTACCCTACTCACGATCTAGAGTTGGGGGCGGTAGTGTTTGCATTGAAGATTTGGAGGCATTATCTCTACGGGGAGACGTGTCACATTTATACTGATCATAAGAGCTTGAAGTATGTATTCACTCAGAAAGAGTTGAATATGAGGCAGAGGAGATGGATGGAGTTGATCAAGGACTATGACTTGATCATCGACTATCATCCCGGAAAGGCCAATGTAGTGGCCGACGCACTGAGCAGGAAGAATACGTCAGGGACGTTACTTACTTGTCTACGAGTATTGAGGGCACACGTGGAGGTGTCCACGACCGGGGCGCTCATTGCTAGGTTCGAGGTGAGGCCTACATTGCTGGGTGAGATCAGTAGATGTCAGGCCATTGATGAGGAATGTCAGAAGATCCGCGAACGGATCCTTGAGGGACCCGTCGAGAATTTTCGGGTACGTGATGACGGTCTTTTATTATTTAAGGATCGTGTGTGCATACCAAAGAATGAGGAGCTCCAGAAGTCTATACTTGAGGAGGCTCATTCTTTGCTATGCATCCAGGAGGTACTAAGATGTGCCGAGATCTGAAGGAAAGTTACTGGTGGTCAGGTATGAAGAGAGATATCGCAGAGTTTGTGAGTCGATGCCTTACTTGCCAGCAAGTTAAGGCAGAGCATCAGCACCCAGCAGGGCTCTTGCAGCCACTCACCATCCCAGAGTGGAAGTGGGAACATGTGACCATGGACTTCGTGGTGGGGCTGCCACGAACAGTGAACAACTACGATGCAGTATGGGTAGTGGTTGATAGGCTCACCAAGAGTGCACACTTTCTGCCTATCAACATTACTTA